CTGAGTGTTCCCATAGGTACTCTGTGTTATCTGTGCCTTGTTGTGTTTTTTACCTGTGTGTTTTGTGGCTGGCTGCTGACTTAGTCCCTTGGGATATATATAGTCCTTTCTACACCTAGTTTGATCACCTGGTTAGCCATGTACTTTGCAACAGTGGCTCTGGCCATATGGTTTGCAGTGGTAGCTAGCCACTGCTTTGTTCCAGCTCCATGGTTGCTGATTACTTGTCATGCTCTGGTAGGTGTTGGATGCTTGGTTTTAACTTCCTATATTGTTTCCTTCTCTTGTTTGTGATTGGCTGATTAGTATGTAACTGTTGATAGGCTGGCTAGCTTTTTTTTCTGTGATCTAAGATGCATTTTTTCATCTTTTTTCCAGGATCTGGGAGTGACCAAAGTGGGTCACATGAAGAGGATCTTACACGGGATCAAGGAGCTGAGCCGGAATACTCCTGTCAGCGAGGTTTAGCCTCTGTTTTCAGATCTTGTGTCTACCATTCCCCCTAACTTCTGCACAGCATTCACCTCCCAGAGCAGCTGTACTCAGAACGGTCTGTACGGATAAGCTAACGGATAGCTGTTCGGAGTTCATATCTGCCAGTCATGGTGCTACCATTTTTATAAGGGGGACAGCTGCATCCAATCAGAGTCACCTAATCTGCTTAGGGGAGGTGGAGCCTCCCAGAAGAGAACTTATCAGCCATTGGAAGAACCCTATCCTTAAACATGGAAAGGCTTAGTTCTGCTGACAACACAGGACTCCTGACAATTACAACATAGCTACCTTTTAGTGTGTGATTTTCATCATATTGGAATTATTCAGGGCAAAAGATATATTGGCCAGTCGTAGTCCAGGAGTGTCTGGCAGCCTTTTCGGGCCTGAGACTGTTCCCACTCGTCTGTATGTCACAGCTGTATCTGATCTTGCTCAAGAGGGCAACCCTTGTCTTTCTGGCCTATTGCAGCTGCATTCTGGATACATCCTTCAGTTGCATGTGACCTGCAAGAGAAGCTCAAATCCTGGGCAGTCCCGCCCGTGCCAGTAATTCTCTCTGTCTCTCTCACTTTTGCCCGGCAACAAACAATGCACGTGGTTGCAGCCTTTTGCACCATCCTACAGCCTCACCGGGGGCCTGTGTGTCATTCTGCTTCACCCAATCGCTGTGGTGCAGCCAAATTCACAGCCATTCTCGCTGGGTGAAAATTCCAGCCAGCCAGTCTCAGAGGACATTCTCTGGCTAGCCCTTGGTGATAGAGCCAAAATTTGACAGGCATTTCGCATATTAAATCACTCTTTCACAATGATGGGAGACTATGGGCCAATTTCATCCCTAGTGCCAACTCGTTTGAATTCAGAAGAATTCTCCTGAGAGCTGTTTGGGCCCTGAGTCTGCAGTCTTGTTTTCTCTTCGGTTCATGTCTACCTACATATCTCCCTGTCTAACAGAGAATCGGGGTTTGCTTATGCAGAGCAGGGAGCGGGCTGTGCCTGCTTGATTCCCATAGCAAAGCATTGTAGGGAGGAGCAGAAGGAGGAAATTTGGCAGCTCTGCCCCCCATAGCTTCTCCCTCCTTACTTTGCATTAGCATCCTTTTCTACACTGATTTTTTGTTTCTTATTAGTACAAAGCCCGTTTTGCTGCATAGGATCCCCTTGTGCATGGAACAAATAAGAATCATGACCGGTTTTATTTCCCAAAGCTCTCTTCCAGCTGCTTTCATTAGCTGTGTGGACACTGATCAAGACCTGTGTGACTAAGGGGAGCCAGGGGAGAAAATGAAGGGTATTGCTGCACTTTTTCATTCTTTCTGACAATAAGCAAGTGGCACGTGCTTTATGGCATCTGCAAATGTGTGTGTTGGTAGCAGCGTGTACACATGCAGGGGGACACCTCAGGAAGAGAACCACCATGGGATAATTCTGAAGGAAGGTGCAACAAGGAAAGAGGGGATCTCTCTCTTTTTTTTTTTTTTTTTTTTTGGCTCAGATTGTGGAAAAAAGCCACAGTTCTTGCTGATTCTGCTTTTTTAAGACAGCGTGTCCGTACCATGCTTGCATTACTTAGTTCTGTATAGATTACGTTTTTGCCTCAATGGAAACGGCTCCTCTGTATTTTTTTCTAACGAGACTGGAGGTGTGGTCCTAGCAGTTCCCCTCCTGTTCAAAGATGCTCTTTAGAACTGTAGCTTATCCTAGAAGGACTGACAGTCACAGGTGCATCTGCTTTTGGCAATGTGTCCATTTTGCCAAGGAGTTAAACTTTATTTCTGTCTGTGAATCACAAAAGACATCTTTTCACTGGGAATTTTTCAAATACACTCCTCCCAGTATCAATCTCCATTGCATTAACTATGCTCCTGCTAGACTCCCGTGGGGATGGCGATGCACACGCTGCCTTCTTTTAATAGAGAATGGGCTGTTATATTTGTCCCGAGTGCCTTTGGATGTGCATCAGATCCATATCTAAAGAGAGGATGAACCACCATGCCATTGGGAATAATTCCACCTCTCTACAGCTCAGGCACTGGGCCTACAGTGGGAGCGCGGGTGTCAGTCATCACCCCGTGAGCTAGGTCATCAGGTTCTAGCTTAACTGTTCGGGATTGCCCCTCTGGTATCTGATAAGCTTTCTGGAGGAAAGAAAATGGCTTGGTCAACTCAGGAAAAATAGACTGAAAAAAATGTCACCGCTACTTTACCAAAATCAAAACTCTCCTGCCCAGTCAAGCGAGACACCCACTCGGGAGAAGTTACAACTCCACGCGTCTCTTGTACACGTTCAGATTGACACGTACTATTGTCAAGGTCCTTCAGTTGAACGCTACTATTGTCAAGGCCTCAGGTCACTTCTCCCTGATCTCTCCACGCCCCAGCAGTGATTTGGGAGCGGAGGAGCAGTGTTTTACGGTGGCAAACTGGTCATGTGGTTTCTGTTACCAGCCATGGATTTTCAGTGCCTAGGTTACCAGGCACTGCAGTGGAAACGTATTCCTCAGTGACAGATTCTGCCCTCCCGCCCTGTTTGGGGCTTGCATGCGGTTATGGGTTAGAGTAGAATTTGCCCACTAGCTGCTCAGGATTGTCCCAGTCTGGGTCTTGTGGGTGAGGGGAGGGTTTTTATTAATAACGGGGTCTTACCTGTTTTGCTGGAGTTCCTTTACAGTGCTTAGAGTATAAGCATTTGACCAAGAGCAGCATGTGCCAGCTGTTCAGTGTAGGTGAAGTGGGTTATTTATTGTGTTTTGTTCTAGTGGAGATTTGTACTCTGTACCATGAAGACTTGGTAAGTGTATGTTTTACTAGAGAGAGCCCATCTCTAGGAGCGAGCCTCTGCAGCCAGGAACCTCACAGACTACAGAGCCGCTTAATCCCAGAATTTCGTGGAACACTCCTGACTCCTATTCAAAGCTTCTTTTGTTATTATGTTTGTATTATTTAAAGATTCATATCTGAGCTGCGTGATAAAGTGGAAGACCGTTTACACAACATTTTTTGTAACTTCAGAAACGTGTGTACTGTAAAAAAGAAAAGTGAAAAATAATATTGTTTAGAAGGCTGTCAGCAGTAATCGCATGTCTGTATCGCTGCCCACCAACCATTGTTCCTCAGGGGTGTCCGCACCATTCTTGCGATCCTGTCAGAAGCATAGGGAAGCACCTGGATCCCTGTACAGGCTTGGAAAGAAGGTTTTGTGCCTTAAGAATGGGACCTGCTCCCCTCCTATTTATTATCGTAATTTATACAGTGATTGCCATGGAAATGCCTCTTGTATTTATGTACATAGTTTGCTGTTGATTGTTGTAAATAAGTTGTTCTTGTATATAAAGCAAACCTGGTTCTGATCTTCTGAAAAATAATTCCTCTTGTGGTGGTGTTTTCATCGTATAAATGGGTTACAAAGTCCACCTACTGCTTCTTTTCCAACAAAAATAGGGTTGCCAGATGGTTTCAACAAAAATACCGGACACACTTGACATTACATCACAACTTACATTACATCTTACTTAGAAAATACCGGACATTTATGTTTTCTCAATTTGTTTCCTGAACAGAAAGCTCAAATACTGGACTGTCTGGTTCAAAACCGGACATCTAGCAACCCTAAACAAAAAGCTTTGCTTTGGGAGGATGATTAGCTTCAAAAGCTCAGAGGCTTCAAAGCTGCTTCCAAGGCTGGGGAATTTATATCAAAGAAGTGAAAAAATCGTAGTTCTGTTCAGTGTCCATTAACTTACAGCTCTTCCTCATCACAAGAGCTCAATCAGTGCGCTCGGGGAAATTTTGTAAATTTGAACTTTAGTAGAAAAGTTTCTACTAAAATTTGAACTTTAATAGAAAAGTAGAAAGTAGAAAGAGGAAAAATATTTCAAATGTGATGGTTCGAACACTGCAATTGCTGCTGCATAGTTTCCACAAGTATAAGACCCTCTGCTAAAATGGGCTTGGGGACAGGAATTTAGGCCACCTTTCCTTTTCATGTGTCAGCTGTATTGATGGAGAGAAATTCCCATCCCCTCCTGAACATGAGAAGTTATTCCCCTCCTGCGATCTAGTATGGCTCTGCTTCAGTGTTTTTAAATTCTAAGCTGCTGTTTTCTTATCTCCAGCTTGATCAGCACTTGTTGCAGACAGTTTCTAGACTCAGGAGATAAGTGAAAATGTATTTGTACGGCAAGTCACATACTCTTCTCCCAGGGTATGTGGAAATTGGGCGCAATCAGAAGTGCCTAATGAATCTGTGAATTTCAAACCTAAATGTTTAGAGTGAGATCAGTGAGAAATGCCGTAGGCCACACACTAACTCCTTTCTCCTTCCAAGTGTATAATCAGATAACACTCAGTGTGTTGGTAAGACTAAGAACCTTGCAGCAAGTTATTCCTGGCCTAGGGCACAGTTCTTACAGCTTAACATTTCAAAGTGAGTGGAAACAGTAATATTTGTTGGAGTGAATGATGAGTATCTTCAGAGGGGAAACAGACACTTTTTATCCAAATCTCTGCTGTGTGCAGCCGGGTGGCATTGGGGAAAATGGGCCACTGTCAGAATTGCTCTGACTCCACTGACGCGGTTGAACGTGGCCCAGTATCGAACTAGGGAAGGCCCTTAACCTGCTGAAGCACCAATGGGTTTTCTTACCTGACGTGAAAGGGAGCGGGGAAGTCCCTCTCCTGCAGTGCTTGGCAGCATTGGAAAGACTGGATTAGAGGGAGCCAAAAGTGACTGAGAAAGGCTGCTCTTCTGTGACAGGCCTCTGCTGTGGGCAGAGTTGGCTGGCATAGTGCCATGCCCCTACGTCTCGAGTTCCAACAGAAAGACGTGAGGCAGTACTGATAACTGCATCATGTGTTTTCCCCCTCGTAATTACATGTTGCACTTCTCTGGCAGCCTCCAGCGGAGGAGTTCAAAGAGCTTGCAGATTCCCGCAAGGTAGGTCCCTGTTACTATCCCCTCAGCGAGTGAATGGTCATTTGTATGGGGGTGTGACTGGGGGCTCTGCTCACCGCTGGACAGCACCTCCTTGCTGTTCTGAGGATTGGCTCTGCGAGGCCCAGACCCCTTTGTGGGTTGCCCACTGCATCCCGGTCTCTCCCAGCCTGCAGGCCCTCTCCCCGAGGAGTTGTGGCTGTTTTGTGACTTGGCCTTCTACACGAGGAAGTGAGGAGACAGATTGACAGAGCCAGACGTGTACCCAGTAGCCTCCTGCTATGGGACAAGCCCAAGAAAGAAACCAACAGAACACCACTGGCCATCACCTACAGTCCTCAGCAAAAACCTCTCTAACGCATCATTAGTGATCTACAACCCATTCTGGACAATGATCCCTCACTTTCACAGGCCTTGGGAGGCAGGGTTGTCCTTGCCCACAGACAACCGGCCAACCTGAAGCATATTCTCACCAGAAACTACACACCGCACCATAATAACTCTAACTCAGGAACCAATCCATGCAACAAACCTCAGTGCCAACTCTGCCCACATATATACACCAGCAACACCATCACAGGACCTAACCAGATCAGCCATACTGTCACTGGTTCATTCTCCTGCACATCTACTAACGTAATATATGCCATCATGTGCCAACAATGCCCCACTGCTATATACATCGGCCAAACTGGACAGTCCCTACGTAAAAGAATCAATGGACACAAATCAGATATTAGGAATGGCAACATAAAAAAACCTGTAGGGGAACACTTCAATCTCCCTGGACACACAATTGCAGATCTAAAGGTAGCCATCCTGCAGCAAAAAAACTTCAGGACCAGACTTCAAAGAGAAACTGCTGAGCTACAGTTCATCTTCAAGTTTGACACAATCAACTCAGGATTAAACAAAGACTGTGAATGGCTCCCTAACTACAAAAGCAGCTTCTCTTCTCTTGGAATTCACACCTCCAGATCGGCTACTAGAAGTGGGCCTCATCCTCCCTGATTCTGGCCTGCATATTTATACCTACCTCTGGAAATTTCCACAACATGCATCTGACGAAGTGGGTCTTTGCCCACAAAAGCTTATGCTCCCACACTTTGGTTAGTCTCTAAGGTGCCACAGAACTCCTCGCCGCATTTGCATGATTAGCTGAGGGGAAGGGGTTCTTAGATTTTTGAAAATGTGTTATTTAACTCAAGTGCCTGAGGAACACTGGACAGAAAAAATGTCTTCCATAAAGATTTAGCACTCATTGGCCTCCCATTAAGGTTTGGGAGAGCTCTCGAAGCACATTTTGAGAGCTCTCAGAAGTCTGTCCCCCTCCCCCCCAAATCAGACAACACTTGATATTCTTGGTGCAAAAGCACCGAAGGAAAAGGAAATGTAGAAGAAAATTAACCTTTCAGTTCTCTAGCCATCAGAAAGAGAAGCAACGTAATATGAAGCCATCGTCTGTCTTTGTGAGAGGCTGGTTTTGAGCAAAGAGAGCTGATGATTCATAGTCTCTTTCATTTTTACAGGATTGTTTTCCTCTGTGATATCTATTTGTAATGCCTTTATCTACTTGTAATAGCCACTGAATATGATCTCTTGGTATGGTGGTATTTCATTTTGGCTGTGGAGCCTCTTCTTTCCTGTTTGTCTGCCAAAGACCCTAATCTTTATTCCAATTTTCCTTCTCATCCTCAGAGATCAAACTTTAGTTAACCACCCTCTGCCCAAGAGAGACCAGCAATTAATCCCTTAGGAGCTCTGGCCTTTGGACTTGAGACATTTTACCAATTTGGTGTGATTTTATTGCTGATTGTGAAATATTTGGTGTTTTTTCTTAAGTCTCCTGCTCCTGGAGTCATGTGATTACCAATAACATGCAGGTTTCCAACATGGTAACACAGAGCTCTGTCAATAGGCAATTAATCCAGCTCCATGTAATATGTTACCGTTTGCTGAGAGGACAAATCTAATGCAGTAACGCAATACAACAGTATCATTTGTAAGCCCCTGTTTTCATTTCCTCTTAACTTTCTAGCCGTTCCCCCATCCCAGCCCAGTTCCTCCGTGTTTAGTCTCAGCTGAACTTTTTTGTGTTTTTAATGGAAGCTTTGAGGAAAATCTTTGCTGGGAGAGTTACAAGAAAAAAAAACCCTTTTTCAACAGCTGCTACAGTGTTTTACTCACAACTCCCAAAATGGCTGACCCTTGAACCGTGAACCTTGGCAGACAAAGCGTGTTTGTTTTGGAGAATGCCCATAACCAGGTTCTGAAAACGTGGGTGAGCAACACGTATAAGCCATTGGAAAAGCACTTCTGAGCATATTCAGTGGCCATCAAATGAATTTATTTTTGTGGGACTGAGGGAAGCCCTGCCTCTTTCTGACATGGCAACGACATACTCTCTTGACGGGTGGTTGCGGGGGTGATTAGCATAGACAGTCCCACCTAGCACACTGCAGACCCTCGAAAAGCTGCCCTACAGTGACCTGCAAAGGGCAGGGATAGAGGGAATTAATTTGTCCTCTCTTTTGGGTCTCACGGATTCATGGAGAAGCCTTGAAGTGTTTCTGATTGTTTATCACATGAGCATTCCCAATCGTTTCTGTTCCGGACCAGTCTTCTGGCTGGAGACCCAGTGCAGACAGCCTGACAGCTGAGCACAGAGGAAGGAAAGGTATCGACTGCTGCTCTCGCTGGCTGGAGGGGACCCGGGGGGGAGGGGGTTTGAAAGTCCAGGCTCGGGTCCTGTTTTGCTCCTTTGTGACACACAAGTTTTTTAAAAGGGCAAAACTGTTACTGCCCCCTCATCTGCTCCTCTCTGGTTGTACCCCAGGAAAGCTCAGAGCTGCTTCACGTGAGCGCTGGAGCCGGAGCTTCCCAGGAGGAGGGTGTTGGTCCCCAAATGATCATTAAACCTTGGGATGAAATAACTGTGCTGTTTGGGACTTTACAACCAAAGAGCATCGCCTTCCTTTAATGCCTCTACTAGTACTGAGCATCCTGGCTCTCTCTCTGGAGTCCTATGCTGCCTCGGCTTGTCACCTGTCCAGGTCTTTCCAGGATTGTCCCTTTTTGGAGGTAGATGTCCCAGGCAATCTGTAAGGGTGCTCCGTCTACCTTTCCAGGGCTGTTGGCTCAGGCTCATCCCCGATGTCCCAGGTTTCTGCATCTCAGAGGTGGCACCCTAATAGAATCCCGGTGCTAGGCAGAGAAAACTTTGGCCCCCTATCCTGTAATCCAATCTACACTGAGGAACCCTTCTCTCTGCCTAGAGTCCCCATGAAGTCAGCATAGCTTCGCCCAGGTGCAAGGCCAGGGCCTTGGTCTCCCGATCTGAATCACCCTAAATCCCAGGAGCATGTCTGGAGTTGGGACCCACCCAGATCTTCAGAATTTCTCCACCCCTTCTTGAGTCAGCAGAGTCGGCTTTCCCTTTGGTGGTCCCTGGGGCCTAGAAGCGCCTCTCGCTCCTCCCCTCCCCCAGCCATCTCAGCCCTGCCCTTGCCACTTTTGAACCACAGTTGAACATGGACCATTTTCGGGGGATTTTATTATTACAGCCATGGGTGCTGCTGCCACATTTGGAATCGTTTTTCTTCCCTTTTTTCATACTTAGATCTTGCCAGTTTTTGTAATACAGGTTTTACTAGAATGATAAAATAGGACAGTGGGACAAACATGTTGAGTTCCAGGCCATTTTTCTTAATCCCAGAGGAAAGATCAATCCCTCAAATGACCCAACCTAAATCAGAATAAAAATTAACATTTTTGGTCCTCGTGAAAGGAAGACACTTAAAAACAGAGGGGGAGGGTGGACTACTGCGGTTATGATGATGGGTGTGTATTTTGTAATACGTGTATTATGAAATGACAAGTTTCTCCTGCCCGATCACATCCGTGAGGGTGCAGTGGGGAGGACCATGTGGTGTTTAATCACAAAATGGGAGCAGAAGCTCACGTTGCAGCACTCTGAGGAGTCAAGGCTAGTGTCCTCAGCTCAAACAGTCACGTTGCAGGATAGGGACTGGCCGTACTAATGCGCTTGCCTCCATGTAGAATAACACTGGCGATGGGACCCACCGTGTGTGGGGACGGCAGTGGGTCCTTATCGCAGGCTTTAAGATTCACCACGTCGGTTGGTCAGCTCTGCCATGTTGCATTTACCACCATCAGCTTCCAGTGGAGCTGACCCATGAGGGACAAAGCCTACAGCGGTGGGAAGCTCAGACGCCCAGAGGGGCTGTTGAACTCACACTGCTTGGATCAAGGACTTGTCCCAGCAACTGGCCGTTGTTTGTTGACTGACTGAAAGGAAGGCCGTTGGGATGAGTAAATATTTGAAGTTAGGGATTAACTAGCCTCCTGCGGCGCCATGGTGGAAGAGTAGAGAGCTGGGACTGAAGCTGGTTGAATCAGTAAGTGCTTCCCAAGAGTTCTACCCTGCTCAATGTACGAGGAGGCTTCGTTTGGCAAATTGCGACTGGGGAGGGAAGAGGAGAGAGAGCAAGTATGTGGGGAGGCTGATGACGGCACAACGGGAACTAGCGCAACCGTGGGATGGACTTGACTGACTCGCGGCTTTGGATTTGCACCTGGGCTGAGGAGCAAGTCAGCTTTACAGACAGGCTCCGGCTGCCTGGAGAACAAAGGAGGGACCGGTCTGACACACTGCCCAGCTCTTTCATGCTTCCTTTTTAATCTCTTAGGAGCTCCGTACTACGCTATGTGGAGACTCTGTACCCTTTGGCTGTTGGTGGCTGCCTGCTTGGTGCACTGTGGACACGGGGCCTCAGGTAAGTTCCGCTCGGAGTTTCTCCCTGGGCTAGATTCCTGTGGCGCTCTCATGGTGCAGCTGCCCCTGCGGTGAGCACTGGTAGACAGGCCCCCTGCACTGCTTCCCACGTGGTGTCCAAGCCTGCCCCGAGCAGGCTGGGTGATGTGGCAGTTAAAGCCCTGAGTCTGGCCTCCCTGTCACTTGCTGTGGCGGAGCGGCCCCAGGGACGGTGCAGCGGCCAGTAACCCGCGGTGCTGACGGAACAGCTAGCCTGGCGCAAGGAGCCGTCACAGGCTCAGCGAGGGCTCATCCCGCGGATAAAGGTAATGTCCCTCTGAGGGGGAATCCTGTCAGATGTCAGCCAGAGCCCGACTTCACAGCCTTCCCATTCGAAGGCAAAACCAGACCGGAACCACACACCTACCACGGCGTGAAACGCCACAGGGAGCTCACCCCACGTAGCAACACCCATGTCTGGCCCCTAGGATCACAGGCTCAGCGAGGGCTCATCCCGCGGATAAAGGTAATGTCCCTCTGAGGGGGAATCCTGTCAGATGTCAGCCAGAGCCCGACTTCACAGCCTTCCCATTCGAAGGCAAAACCAGACCGGAACCACACACCTACCACGGCGTGAAACGCCACAGGGAGCTCACCCCACGTAGCAACACCCATGTCTGGCCCCTAGGAAGCCAGGTGAGAGCAGCTTCGGCCATGGAGTCACGCCTGCTGCCTCTAATCAGGATGGAAACCACGTCAAGTCCCTACCCCGGTGTCTGTAAGACAGGTACAGGCTACCCAGTAGCTAGACCCCACGGTGGCCCAGGCCATCTGAGTGGGCTTCACAGGCTCAGTCTCTGGGGCTGTGTCACTGTTGTGTGGACATCTGGGTTCGGGCTGGCGCTGGGCCTCAGGAGCCTGTGAGCTGGGAGGGCCGCCGGGCGTCTACACTGCCATGAAACAGCCCTGTAGCCTGACCCTGGAGCATCTGAGTTAATTGGCTGGGGTCAGCGGCTGCTTTTTCCCTGGCCATATTGACCAGTGAATCTTCACCTCCTGACAGGTGGGTTGGCACAGCCCCAACTGCCACCCCCCCCCCCCCCCCAAAAAAACATGGCTGCCCAGACTGTCCCAGAGGCACCATGGCAATGAAGCTGCTGCCTCCATTTCAGCTCTGACTCCTCACAAGGAAGAAGAGACAAGGGGCCGTCACACTAATACACCGATGTACCCGCCTTTCACCCCCCTGCCTGCTTAACTTGCCTGGCTTCCCTGCTACCCGGCCCTGTGCCCAGCGTGCCTTGTGACCCCAGCTGTCTGCCAGGAGGTGGGAGGGATGGCTTGGCCTCCCACGCCACCATAGCTCACTCCTATCTCGGCTTCTTGCTAGAGACGTAAGCTGGGGAGGTCAGACCTTTTATTGCACCTTGTGCTGGCGAGGGAGGGACGCTTTCGAGGCAGTGTCCTCCCAACCCCAAGAAGAGCTCTGTGGAGCTCGAAATTGCCACTTGTTCATCATCAGATGTGAGTGCAATAAAAGACATTAACTCACCTGCCTGTTCTCTCTGACCCCCTGAAACCCCCCCCCCATGGCTACCGCGACACTCAGCTTCTTCCTGCCACACGAATACGACAAAGATTGTTCCATTCAAGCAAGCCGCCTGCAACACAGCACATGGGAAGACCCAGGGCCTCCTGGAGACCCTGCAGCCCAAGGGAGCCGGGCTGCACCACAGGCCGTTGGACAGGGCACCTGCAAAGGGTGGGTGCAGCCCTCTCCTCCCGGCCCATTCGCAGCTCTTTGTGCAGGAGCAAACCCTCTTGCAGCATCCCCTGGTCCGAGGCAGCCCGGGGACCGGGAGGAGTGGTAGGGACCGGCTCCAGGGAGCTGTGCCAGGCATTGTGGGGTGGGAAAACGGGCTGCAGGCCTGCAATAGTGAAGGGAGCGGAAGGCTGGTACATCGGTGTCTTAGTGTGACGGCCCCTTGTCTCTTCTTTCTCGTGTAGGAGCCTGAGAGCTGAAACGGAGGCAGCAGCTTCATTGCCGTGGTGCTGGGTGGGTGGGTCTGTTGCAGCCCCGTGGTGCTGGGTGGGTGGGTCTGTTGCAGCCCCGTGCATTGACATGGGGCAGAACTAGACCCAAACCAGGCTGGCTGATGCGGCTTCACCACACATTGCCGGTGATTCGGTTCTCTGCTGGAAACATGGCTTCTGGTCCCAAACCCAGACATTGTGCAGGTGGGACCTTCATTCAGGTCTTCGGGGTTCCTACCTCAGCCCCTTCCCCACGGCTGAGAAGTGCCCTGCGGGCCCGTGTGCTCAGGAGCTGTCACAGATTTCATAGCCCTCTGGGTTTTCGGGTGGCCAATTCCAGACCACCTGGGAGACTCTCAGAAGTGCTCCTGGACTCCTCTGAAAACCAGGCAGAAGGGTCTGAAGCTGCAGCTAAGGAGGGAGTGACGGGCCCTGCAAGGGGCTGCACGCTCAGGGTCAGTGCCAGGCTTGAGCCCTCGTCTCTCTCGGCTTCAAGTATTTTACAGCGGCCGCGATGCCAACCAAATCCTGAAAATCCAGAAGCGGGCGAACTCTTTCCTGGAGGAGCTCAAGCCAGGCTCTCTGGAGCGAGAGTGCAAGGAGGAGCAGTGTGACCTGGAGGAGGCCAGTGAGATATTTGAAACCAGGGAAGCAACCGTAAGTCGTTCCCCTCAGGCTGGGAGGGGAGAGGGGGAATGAATGAACCGGTGAACACTGATTTGGGGGACGTATTCGTGGCTGGAGCGCTCCCCTCAGTATCCTGCTGTCTGCGAGGGCAGACACAGCCATGCAGCAAACACAGCTGTGTCGCTTTACACCAGTGAGGAGCTGGCCCTGGGTTTCTGTTCCTTGCGGTTCTGGTTGTAAAAAACCAACCCAGGCCTGTCTGCCCGGTGTGCGCTGGCAGGTCTCCCCCAGGCCCTGTCGCCTTTTCCTCTTGCCCCACCACCAGCTTGTCCCACAGCCTCCCTGCTGGCCTCAGAACCCCTTTGGCCTGGCTTGGCTCCCTCCAGTACCACCACAAACTCCGGCTCGGCTCAGTATTTACTGTCTCATAGACTCATAGACCTTAAGGTCAGAAGGGACCATTATGATCATCTAGTCTGACCCCCTGCACAGTGCAGGCCACAGAATCTCACCCACCCCCTCCTAGAATAATCCTCTCACCTATATCTCAGATATTGAAGCCTTCAAATACTTTGAAGACCCCAAGATGCAGAGAATCCTCCAGCTGTGATCTGTACCCCATGCTACAGAGGAAGGCGAAAAACCTCCAGGGCCTCTGCCAATCTACCCTGGAGGAAAATTCCTTCCTGACCCCAAATATGGCGATCAGCTGAACCCTGAGCATGTGGGCAAGACTCACCAGCCAGACACCCAGAAAGTTCCCTATAATGAATGGTCAATTAGTTACCAAGATCATGTTATTTCATCCAACCATCCCCTTATCATAGAATCATAGAACTGTCCCTTCCCCCTGGGGTGAAATACGGGTGCTGCTGTATTGCCCCATGCGGGGTCACGGCAGGGGGGTGGATGCAGCAGTACCTGTAAGAAATGGGAGTATGGGGGGGCGTGGGGCAGGAGTCAGGTTGGGGATCAGGACAGAGGGTTGGGGAGGGAGGAGGTGCATCCAACCATCCCCTTATCATAGAATCATAGAACTGTCCCTTCCCCCTGGGGTGAAATACGGGTGCTGCTGTATTGCCCCATGCGGGGTCACGGCAGGGGGGTGGATGCAGCAGTACCTGTAAGAAATGGGAGTATGGGGGGGCGTGGGGCAGGAGTCAGGTTGGGGATCAGGACAGAGGGTTGGGGAGGGAGGAGGTGCAGGTTGTAAGGGAGTTGGGTGGGGCAGGGGAGAGCTCACAGCTTGG